ACAAGCACCTGGCTAGAGTCGTCTAACGTCAGCGCTCTTTCCTGCCCAGGGCAGGGGGTCGGACTTGATGATCTACTAAGGTCCCTTCTGACCCTAAGCATCTATGAATCTATGAAATTGTTTTTTGGGTGGATGAGGCCATTTTCCATTGATTTGCATTATTGGAGAAATGTCTATGAGAAGCCTGATCCAAATCCTCCTATAATTAATACACTGTAATGACATGCCTGTAGTTGGATCTTCAACAGTAGGGAGTGAGCCTAGAACTCCTGGGTCTAAAAGCACAAGCCTGTACTGCCGGAGCTAAAGGATTCACTTTTGTTAGCCAAAGTTGTACACGCCTCTTCAACTTCTACCTGTGACCTTGTGCACACAAGAAGTTGATGAGAAATTCTAGGTGTAAAACAAAGGCTGGATTAGGCGTAGATCACTGTGTGTGCTTTAGAATGAATCTTGTTCTTTGAAGATTGCTTCCAATAGGTAGAAATTACTGACTTTGTTAAAAAATAGGACCAAACCCTATTAATTTCAGTGGTGCAAAGCTTTTAATTGTATAGAATGTTTTCTCCCTAGAGAAAGATGTAGAAAAGCATGAGAAATGTTTTTCCCTTCCTGTCAAATTAATCTTTTGAGATTTCAAAATATATCCATTTTGCTTGGGGATAAAACCAAGACCTTTTTTCCCTGTTTTTTGCAGAAAATTGCAGAGGCCTACCCCAGAATAGCCAATTAACTTGGTAGTTAGGATGCTACCCTCAGATGTAGGAAACCAGGTATTCAACTCCCTGGTCTGAGTAAAGCAAAGGAGAAACTTAGACCTAGACTAGGTGATTTCCAGGATCATCAAACTATTGTCTACCGCAGAGGGAAAGGGTGGGGACATGTGTTTTTTCCTGCTGTTCAGCATAGAAAACTTTCCTTCTCAAAGTTTAAACAAAAGTGGCACATTCCCACGAAGGGCTTTAGTTTTGAAGAAAAACTATTTTGTCAGGACATTCCCTTGGAACTCTTAAAAAATGTGAAATGACTTCACCTGAGCAGTGATTTATTATCGACATGCTGCCCATTAATTGAGATAATCTCCAAACAGTGATGGAAGAAAGAGATGATCAGCAATTGTAGATTTAAAATGCCATTTTGACTAGAAAAGCAATTTAGGAGACACTTCCATCTTGATAATGAAAATTGGGCAAGGTAATAAGGGATTTTTCATTTTGTGAGCAAACTGACAATGCAAGTACCAGGTTTTTTAATTTAGATTTAAGTGGAATAGTGGTTGATCATTTTGATGCATCATTAGTCATATTGCTTGCTAATGAGGGATTCACATTTTGTCCGATTTAACTTTAGACATTGATAGCCAAGTCCAATGAGCATGTAAATGTTTAGAAAGGGTGAAGAGCACACTTGGAGTAATTGCACCATTTTAATTTAAAATGCTTTTCCACTGCAGCCAAAAAAGGAAAGAGTGAACTTTTTTTTTTTTTAATGGAAATAATCATTCTGACTTGTGATTGATAGGCTGCTGGAGGAAAGCAATTTGCAAGGAACACATTAGATTTTGAAGTATGTCATCTTAAAACAGAAAACAGGAAAATAAAAATTCACTTCAACCTTGAGTATAATATGGATAGAAGGTACTGACCCAGTACTTGGTGACTGTCCTCAGAACAGATAGAGACGCAGTTGAAGATCCTCTGCTGCAGGGGTTGGCAATGCTTTCTGGTGGCAGGTCAGAATGACCCGGCTTGGGTTGAAGGTGAGCGATTCTAGGACCCGGCTGTGGCAAAGTTCCTGGCTGTGGTGCGGTGCAGTGCTTAGCTACAGTGCTGCCAGAATGTCCCTGAAGCCTCCACTGCAGCCTGTATCCAATGTCACCACAGGCTGCATCCAGCCTACAGGGCATAGACTTTCAACCCCTGCTGTACTGTCACCTATCAATATGCTTTACCTCTGGCCTGAAAAAAAAACAACTTCTGAAGGCCTTCATAATGTTTGTTGAACTCCATGTTCAACGTTTGTTGAACTCCATGTGAATTATACCAATGATCTGAAGTCTGTGCATCTCCCCAACTGCAACCACGAAACAAGGGACTTAGTTATATGCAGAATAGGCATCAGTTTAATTACCATTTGTTTTAAAACTGGTTTTAATTAACCCAGTACAGACATCTGGGAGATTCTTGTAATGCCTAGGAAAGAAAGAGGTGTTCTGGGCCTCACCCCTAGACCCCAGAAAAGCATTTGTTGTCTCTTGGAAGTGGAATGGGAAGGTAGGATATGACATGAACCATCTATGATACCTCAAGCAAAAAACCTAAAAATTCTTGCTGTGCCACTTGCTTCCATCATTCACATATGCATGCTCATGTGCATTTAGCTCAGATGGAAAAGGGAACAATTCACCGTGCTTAAAGATGCCAAGGTTTCATGTGGGGTAAGGGTAGGTAACATTGCAGGATCCAGTTTGGGTACTACTGTACTCATTCTCTTGGGGTTGTGTTCAATAAGTGAGGGAGAGTTGCTGACATACAAAACCAGACCATGGAGGAATAACCAGCCAGAACAGAACTGCTGTTCCCATGTAACCAGCCAACAGACTGGTGTAGGCTACGTCCTGGCATTGTTGTTAGCAAATTAGTCATTGTATGTGACCCTTCTTCCCCAGTACTGCCCTGCTAGGCGTTATGCAATGAGAACCTTTTAATTCGGGTGTGGGCAAAGTGTCAGATCTGACCACCAGCTAGACTCCATTTCCCAGCAGCCCCTGCCTGAATGGCTGGGGCCAGTCTCCATGGAGATCCCAGCCACAGCTGCCCTGTGATAGCACAAGGCTGGGGCTGCCATTGAGACCAGCCCCAACCGCGCTGGCAGGACATGTGACAGGGCAGGGCAGGGGGCTGTTCCTGAGCTGCTGGGACCTTGTGGCAGAGGCAGCTTGGTTGGGGCCAGGATAGAGCCATGATCTGTAGCCTGCATTCTCCAGGCAGGGACATGCAGGCAGTGGATTGTGAGACTGTTCCAGCAACAGACTGTGCAAAGAGCTGGGACAGAGCTGCAATCTACTGCCTGCGCATCTTTGCCCAGAGCGTGCAGACTGCAGCTCTGTCCTGGCCCTGACCAAGCTGCCCGTGGCACAAGATCCCAGTGGCTCTGGAGCAGCTCCCTGCCCTGCTGCGTGCCCTGCCAGCATGGCTGGGCCTGGACTCCATGGCAACCCCAGCCTTGGCTATCACAGCACAGCTGCAGCTGGGGTCTCCATGGAGACCAGCCCCAGCCCTGTGGGCAGGGACTGCTGGGAAATGGAGTCCACTGCCAGCTGGATCTGGCCCACAGGCTGGACTTTGCCTGCCCCTGTTTTAACTGTAGCAGTGACCAGGCCACAAAATTGCTGTCCTTGGAACTTCACTTGCAAATGCATTTGAAAATGAGACCATGATCATTTATGGTGCCACCTTATGGCTTGAAGGAAAGCTGAAGTCCACTATCTGCAAAATCATTCCATAGTAGTAGATTAAAGACTTTAATTGAGGTAGGTAAAAGTAGCATCAATTTCTTCAGGATGACTGCTGCGAATACTGGCCACCTTTTTCACAGCTTGTAAAGGGAAAATTGATAGGGTTGAATGGGTTATGGGAGTGAACTCATGATCATATCAGAGCTTTTTAAAAACAATGGAGTGTTCAGAGCTCAGGAAAATCTCAGAGTTCCCACATGGGCCACTTGACTTCAAGGAAAGGGACTCTGATGAGAGAAAATGGTGCATCTTCTCTGAGTGCACAAAATGGAAGCAAGCAATGGAAGTGCAGTCACCACATGACTGTGTCCTAAAGGTTTTGGTTGTGGTCAAGCCCTTGGGGTTACCGTGCTTTTTATATACAGTTGAGCTGATTTATGAGACATTCCATTAAATTTTATTGCACCAGTGGTTTTTCTTTAGTTCTTTTGAAGTGGAAAATATCATTTCTGCAGCAAATGCAAGTCAAAAGTCTTAATGGAGCATAAAAATCTAAAAGGTCATGCTTTTATAGCTTTAAAGCCAAGAACAATACATTGCTTGATATTCTTAAAAAATTGTAAAGTTAATGAGCATGTTTATGAGTAATGAAGTAATGATATAATTCTCATCCCAGATCCTTGATTTTAGGTTCTGATATACAGGATCTTTAATGGGTGTCCTTTTAAGAAGAATTCTCATTCTAAGAGTGTCTCATTATGGATTCATGGAATGAGAGGACTAATAGCCCAAGACAGGCTCCCTCATAAGAGGATTAATCAGTGGTCTTAAAATACCTGGTCATTTTCTGGTCAGAGTGAGGGGGGGTTTTGGGTTTTTTAGTTTCAATGTGTGTTATTTATTATATGTGTGTGTATATGACATGTAGCATATCTGTTCAAGATGTGTTGTGTACAAGAAATTCTTAGCCAAATAAATAATGTCCCTCTCACAAACAAGACTATGCAAGCTTTAATAAATGCGTGTGACAATATTTAAAAACTCATTACTTTTTCAAATGCCTGTAATAGAAATAGCCAATGTAGACTCAGTGGAAAAACTAGAAATGTTTTCTTCCGAATTTGTATAAGTGCAAAAGGCCTTTCTTTTACTGATACATTTTTTTAATTCTTTAGGTAAGCGGTCAGAGTTCATATTTAATTTTCCTATTTGCATCTTAACAGAATTTTGATTCAGTGATCCAGAATTCAGATGGAGCTGGACAGAAGAAAATATCTTCCTAGGCTGTCTGTATATAGAGTAGATAGTAAAAGCTTAATTCCCAACTGCTTGCAAATGTTTTTCCAGGTGTTGACAAAAGGAAAATCATTTAAACTCAGATGGTCATTTTAACCATCATTTCAAGAAGTCGCTATGGGAACAGACTGCAGTACAGAAATGGTCAGAGGGGAAAAAGCTAATAAAGAATGCTAATCAGAATGAGCATCATTTTTCTGCTGGCTAATAATACAGACTGTCCTATTTTCTTTCTTTGTCTTTGCAGCAGTCTAGCACTGGGGATTTGAGGACTCTAAGAAAAGGGTTATCCCCGTACCACTCTGAATCACAGCTGTCGTCATTGCCGCAGTATCAAGATGCCATGCAAAATGTAAGAGCCTTTTAGTTACCTGGTGTATTTATACAGAAAAAAAATCTTGAGTTTTCAGTAGAGGAGAGCTTGAGCTGAGGCCCTAAATGCAATTGCTGGCAGGCTGAGCGCCAGCTTTTCTGAAACCTGACGTTTGTGGTGTAAAAGGGGAAGTGGACCCTTCAGCATTCATCAGTCTTAGCAGCTGCATTTTTCCAGAGCTGGGGGAGTTCCTGGAAGTGCTAGCTTTTACCAGTAATACAGATCTCTGTCACCCAGATGCCAATCTTAAAACAAGGTGAGGGCCAGTCAAACCGGTGGCTTGCTTTTCTTAAGTTGCCTTTTCTGATTGACTCAGGTCAAAAAAGCTGACACTGAAGAAGCAAAAGACACCCTGTCCGGTGCCTTAACAATTATTCTGTGAGATCTTTAATGCTTGAATTCTTGGTGCTTCATGTTTACTCTTAACCTTTTCAGCATGGCCAGTAGGTTTCATGTAACAAAATTTTCCTGTTCTGCTTCCCTTAAAATGACAAAAGAATCCTGTTTGACAAAAGTGAAAAGTCCAGAGAGAGCCAAACATTGTACTTTAAGGGCTCCTCCTTCTAGTCCTACACCACCCATGAATTGCTGGGCAAAATGTGCCCAGTGAGAATATACCATGGATTGAAAGTCCTAGAGGATCATTTTTCAAATATTTATCTATGCACTTTGGAATATTATATTTGTTCAACTAAATTACAGCCAAGATTGTAATTAAGAGCATGTGATGCAGTGTCCAGTCACATTCTGGTTGTAATTGACCTGATCTTGCATTCAGCTTTAGATGTTCTTTATCATTCAGGATCAGGCTCCCAGTCATTCTTATCGCAGTAACGTGTGTGGAATTTAACAAAATGCCCACTTTATACTTAGAGAGGTATTGATAATGATAAGTCTGAGAATTTGCTAGATTTTGCAGTGCATACTGCAGAGCTCAGCATTGCCTCATTATGGCAAATGTCATTTTAGAGAGGTTTCCAGATTCAGCCTTCTTTGTGTAAATATGATAGGGGGAAAAAAATCACAATTTGGCAAGTACTAATTCTGTGTAAGGAAAGGGAAAACATCAGTCACTTTGCATATTTTAATAAGAAATATTCAGTAGGTATAAACGTACAGATTTTTTTCTGTTGGATTTTAGTGTTATGAGAAGATGATAACAACTTGTAAATTAAATAAATTTAATGGAATTCACTTAAATGCCTAGCTTTATCCTACTTATGGTATTTAGGTGATTTGTGAGAGATGAAAGGGTCAAGACTATAGATAGAAAACCGATGGCAGGAGTTTTGTTCTTAGAAGATTATGCCTGTGGAGGAAAGTATTTTTGCTTCTCTTCAAGCATCCTTAACATATAGATTTGGACAGAGCTGCCTGACTCCATGGGAGTAGAAATTAGTCTGCAGGGATTTTTTTTCTGCTTGAGTTCCAGTCCATATAAGACACTTGAGAACCTGCTGTTGCCAGGGGATGCATAGGTTGTTGGTCTGGTGAAAGCTAATAGAAAGGTGTCATATTCAGTGTTAATTGAGTGTTAGTGCTTTCCATTATTACTTAAGAGAAAGTGATGGCTTTTCTAAAAGGTCATAATTAAACCCTTTCTCAAGAGAGTATTCTATTCCTTGAGTGGACTTCCACTCGTCTCTAACGTTCCTTCCTTTTGTGGAAAATTATCGAGAAAGTTAAGGCAAAACAAATCCCATGTTATTTGGATTCCTTAAGTGTTGGTTTTATTTTATATTTTTTTAGTCCAGGTCACTTTGCTTGTAGGTTCCTGATTAGTACAGAAAGAAATCTCTGTGTTAGTAGCTGGTCCCCTTTCTGGTGAAAGAAAAAGATCTGACAGCCATACTGATTCCTTTAGACCCCTCTGCCACCTTAAGACAGCAAACTGCAAGTCATTATGAGTTTGCTTGCAGGCTTGTATAAGATCACACAGAAGTAAGAGGCTCTGCTCTTTTCTTTTCATGAGGTCCAACAAGCAGTATTAGGTAACTTGTGTTCTGCCCTTTGGGCTCTGTTGTGCAGAAGTCTCTATTCTGTCCCATTCTGTGCAGTGTTCTGGGAATATTAGTGAAGAATGCTGCAGTATCTTGAGTTGTATGTGATGCTCCTCTGTGCATGTCCAGAGGCTCTGACCCTTCTGGTATAGATCAGCGTCTGATGCAAACTAGACCATGGAAGGCATCCCAAACCAGGTTCAAACCAGGGTTGCACCTGGAATGCATTCAGAGTTTGCAACCAGTGCAGTAAACTGCTGTCTACTTAACTCCTGCAGAGAGTGCAAGAATTAAGTGGGCAGGAGCACATCTACGCCCTGTGATATGCACTGACTACCCAAACCTTTTGGAAGAGGAAGTCTTAGATGCTGATTTTGACTTATACAGCCCTAAATGATTTAGATCCTGACTGCTTAGCAGCTCATTTTCTATGTGGATTCTTTCTCATCCCAGGTAAGCTGAAGGACTCATATTAGCATCTTAGCATCCTGCTGTTTTATGCAGGAGGATGCTAATGTCTTGGCTTTCTCAGTGTGAGGTCCTTGAAACTTGAGTGAACCCACTGGTCACCACAGTGCAGACTTTGGTGATCTTCACTTTGTACTGCAAGCAATACCATTTTCACCAGATTTCTCTGGGGATGTAAGAGGTTGTGTGTATGCCATTGGAGTTGGATATGAGGAATTGCCTAGTCCGAGTTGTATGGATTTCTGTTCTCATATTCTGTCCTCAAGATGTTTGGGGAGGAATTTTATTTAAATAAATCTAACCAGGTTTTGAAAGGAATAAATGATGATGACATCAGGTACTTGCTAGTCGCATCATAGTAGGAGATGGTCTTGTGGTTGAAGCATGAATTTGAAAGTCATGAGACTTAGATGTGTATTTCTGGCTCTCCTTTAGGCAGACAAGGTTCTTTGGGTGAATCAGTTTCAGCTGAAACTTCCTTAGCCTGACAAAGGGTTTTTGAACCCGAAAGCTTGCTTAATAATTGTTTTCCAACTATTTAAGTTGGTCTAATAAAAGATATCAGATTCACCCAAAGAACCTTGTCTGCCTATGTCCTTAGACCAACATGGCTACAACCTACACCCCTGGTTCTCCTTTAGGCTTTCTCTGTGAACCTGCCCAGTTCACTCACTTCTCTGTGTTGGAGGTCTTCATTCATGAAATGTGATGGTTGGGGAAATAATTACCAACTTCATTAGAGATGTTTTTGAGGTGTAATTAATCTATGTCTGAATAGTGCTTCAGGATATGTTCACTGAGTACAGACACTATCATTTGCTTTTTTGCATCTCAATTTTCTCTCCATCACTGGAGAGGAAATTTCTCAAGTTCTGTTTTGTTTGTATATTGTCTCTAGAACATCTAAGGATGGATCAGGGTCACGAGATGGAACTGGAATTGTAACAATTCACATCCCTCATTCTCGTAAAATGATACTACTATGCTTCACCTTTGTGTGCCTTTAATATTCTCCCAAACAGATTTCTGCCTCAGGGGTGTGGGGGGTGAAGGTCTTTCTCACCACAAAAGCAAAGCCATTTTAGCAATTCAGATTGTGTGAAATCTCACTTTCTGTTTTCTGTGCATTTGCTGTCAGAGACAGGGCCTTGGACCACAGCTAAACATGATGGTGAGAGCCAACAGACTCATAGCTCAAGACAGTGAGTCTAGGGTGGGTTTAAAACACTTGCACCTGATTTGATCCAGGGAGGTGCCTCTGCTCTGTCACTCTTTAGACAGCTCTAGGACCTTGTTGAATTCATAGCAGCATCCCACAGCTGTTTTAAGGGACATAGTATTGCCCAGTATTTGCATACACATCTAATCCAGTCCATCAGTCAGTCAATAAATAATGTGTGTGCATACAAATAAACAATAATTTGGGAAAATAATGCCTACAATGTCTAGATTGTCCCTGCCGAACAGGGAGACATTAGCAAATTGCTTAGGTGGCTGTTGGGGTGGAAGAGTAGAAAACTTTATGGATCGTATTTTGTTTTAGGATCTTATTTTGTTTTAGGAGAACCAGGATACTCTTGCTCTCTGGAAACAGTAAAAAGAGACCTTTTAAAAGTGGGGATCACAAGGAGGGCCAAATTCCTAAATATTGACATTTAACCCCAGGATTGTAAAGGGTTTGAAGCACCATTGGGTCATTTTTGGAGGTTTTTCTTCATAACCATACATTCTTTTTTTTCTCCTTTTTTAATAGAGATGCACATATTCACATGGCTCCAGCAGCTGGGGTCTTAAGCAAAACAAGATATTCTATGATGCACATAACAGTATGAGAATGGAGTATGCACTTGCTAATATAATTAAGGGATAGTGGGGCCTCAAAGTTGTTACCTTTCAAAGATGTACCTGACTCTCTTCACTTCTATCAGGTTGTGCTTGCTCTGGACTGCTCAAATGGGAAATAAGTGGTGGGACCACCCTCATGATAAATTGTGATATATTCCTCTTAATGTTCTTTCTTATATTCTTGACATATTACTGAGTTCACATCTCAGTGAGATGGATGGAGCAGTTCCTGCTTCTTAGAACTGTTGTTCCAGGCTCTTCGCAGCCTCATTTATGTTCCAGTTATACTGAGTTTTCTTCCCAAGCAGCTCAACTTGCTTGTTATTAAAGTGAAAGCTGAGATCCTGCAAAATGGCAGCTTCAGAGAAGTGCCAATACAGTGCTTATACCATGATCCAGCCTTGTTAAAAGGTAAAGACTGTTGCTGCAGAGCTCTCGTGTATGAGTACAGACCATTCCAGTGTTTCTAGGAACATTCTCCTGTCATCACAAGCAGTGATGATGACTTCTGAACCTGCGTGTAAATTTATCAAGCTGAGAGTTAGTGTTTTTTCCCTCTTGTTGATGGGGTTTGTAAGTCCCACATGGGAATAAAGGAGCAAGACCTCAGCTGCGGCCCAGACACAGATCCCTTTCAAGTCTTAGGTACTTGACTGCTTCTAGATC